GGCTCGCCGGGCGGCAAGCGCGGCGCGTGCCAGGGAGCGAGACCGGGCGCCGGGGACGTGCGGGAAATCGCGCTTTCTCCCTGCACGAGGCAAGGCCTGATAGTTGTTAATGGTTTGGGGCCACCTGAAAGTAGAAAGCAACCTGCAAAGACGTCTCGATATTTGCAAGGACCAATTTTCATCATGCTCGTGGGAAGAGCAACACCAGCGCAGTCAAAGTGTCCCAGAGCTCCTGGGGTGGTAAAGGGAAGAGGAGTTGTACAAGCAGCTTAAGGACTCATAGCTAGAAATAGCGCTTGACTAGGTATAGCTGGAAGATGAATGTGAACTCTCTCTCCAGACATGCATGCTCTGAGGTTTTGAGAGACCTACAGTGATAGAGGGACATTTTGGCATTATGTATTTTGCAATAAATTTTATTTAGCTGATCATTTTTTGAATATTTGGGGGAGCATTTAGAGGTAGGGTTCTGCTTAAAGTTGTGATATGAGCAACCAAATTTATCTCCCAATGAGTAACAAAGAAAGTGCCTTGAACAAATGAGCTCCATGGGAAAAGAGAAGAAACTGGAGAGGAAAAACAGCTAATATGGCTGTCAAAATTGGCAAGGGTGTGCTGTTTCTGTTCTGAGGCAGGCATGTAGCGATGTCTGCTCATAATCCGAGCGCTGCAACGCTGCATAGACGGATTGCACGATTCCCATTGCTTACCCATTTCATCTCATCGTTTGGTGGGAAAGGAAGGTCCCCAGATGAGGCTGTCCTTCCCCAGCACATATAAAACCTTATCAGTGCCTTGTCAGAAAATTATGGGAGCAAATCACAAGAATGTGATGATGCTGTTTCTTTAGCATTGCATTCAGCAGGCGCTTCCCTATCCCATTCCTATCGCTATCCCAGGGAGGTTGCCATTGCCAGAGAAGAAACCAGCTGGCAGCAGGAAATGGGTAGGGAACAGCTGCCTGTCCCGAATCCCTGGCCTCGTGCTGTTCCCAGGACTCAGGAGCTGGTGTCCTGCCACGGCCCTGCTCACAGTTCCTGCTCTGCTGCTTAGAGGCCCTGCTGTGCTTGGACAGGCCCCAGAGGATGGTGACAGGGCTGGCTCCTCGCATTCCCCCACAGCCTTGCTCAGGTTTCCGTGTCTCCAGGATAGTTTCTGCCCCACGTGCGTGTGGATCTACTGTGTGCAGAGGATGTGTGGAGCAGGACTCCCTGGGGAGGCAGAGCAAGCCCTGTTAATGTGCTCTCCTTCCCCTGCAGATCGAGCCCCTGAGCGGGCCGCGGGCCGGGGGCACCCTGCTCACCATCCGGGGCCGGAACCTGGGCCGCCGGTTCAGCGACGTCGCCAACGCCGTCCGCATCGGCAGTGTCAAGTGCGAGCCGCTCCGGGACAGATACGAGGTCTCCGAGACGTGAGTGTCGGGGGGTGCTGGCGGGACGAGGGCGTTGGGCCTCTGGACGGGCCACTCTCTGGTCCTGCTCTGCCCTCGTGACGGGGTGGGAGCCGGCGCTCAGGTCGAGCCGTCACTGGTGATGCAAAGGGTGTCCAGAGAGTGGGGTTTACCCAGCTCTGCCCTTGGGTTGTGGCTTCAGGAAACGTCTCCCTTGAACGGTGTCTTAGTGCCACTAACGTGGCGGGGACTTTGCACGCAGGAACGTGTTGTTTTCCCTGTGCTCAGAGCCCTCCCCAGAGCCCCCTGGATAAACCCGGGTGTCAGGAGCGCGGGCGGCAGCGCGAGGAGCGGCTGCGGCTCCTGCACAGCCGGTGCTGCGGGATGGTCACTCCGGCTCTGTGCACACCAGCCTGGTCTCTTCCCCGCAGGATCGTCTGCCAGACGGGGGAAGCGCAGGAGGTGTTTTCTGACGTGGTAACCGTTAACGTGAGCCGGGAAGGCAAGTCCAGGGAACGATACTCCTACGTGGTAAGTGGCTGCCCTAAGGGAGGACCTGGGGATCCTCACGTTTGTGTTTTCCCTTGTACCCCTTAAGAAAAAAGCCCCTCTACCTCCCCTCCCTCTTTCCTATCTGCCCTGACCCTGCCATGGAAAACAGGACCCATGATAGCAGTCCCAGCAAAGCACTTGCAATGTTCTTTCACCTTTAATTACCTGAATGGTGTCCAGCGAATTCGAGCAGGAGCACTCCAAGGAGGACTGCAGCCAAGGTGTCGTAGCTTAATTTGCACCACAACATCTGTCTTGCAATCTCAAGCCTTGCAATGATGTCTTGCTTGTCTTGGTTATGTCTCTGTTTCTCCTGTTGTAACAAGGAGTTCATTTTACTTGTTCTTCTTTTGCTAACGTGCCATTATAGCCTGTGAGGTTTTATGTGAATTGCCAAGTCCCTCCTTGCTATGTCAAGTTTCATAATAAGAACCTGCATTGTTCTGAAGTGACGTTTTGTGCTCTGGAGATTGCTCAGTGTCTGCACGAGCATAAGCTCTTGGATTTCGGCTTGAGTTAACCCATGTCACAGGCAGGAAGAGCAGCCCTCCGTAGCTTTGCACTGTGCCATCTCACACAGGTGACACTTGTCTCTGTCAATCGGACAGAACCTTCTTTCCACCCAGCACTCTGACCTCGGGCTAGCCGGTGCTCATGAGCAGCCCCATGCCGCCAGGTCAGGCACAACGGTTTGGATGCCAGTGGCATGCTGCATTTGTGTACGCTTTGGAGTTTGATTCTGTCCAAGAAAGAAATGGTGAGGGCAAGGGCTTTGGCAGTGCTGGTGCAGCACCAGTTCATGTGGGGACATGGACCCCTTCCTATGGTTTCTGAGTGTTCAAGTTCTCATCTGAAACATCTCAGAGAACCTGCAGTGTGGAAGGGAGCAAGGTGCAGATGTGGGTATCTTGGTAAGGGATCTGGGGGTAGAGATTTCTAGTGCATTAGTCTCCAGGATGTGCGTGCAGCCTCCAAAAATAGCAGAGCTGCTGTCACACCCATGGCTGGGAAGTTGGTTGAGTTGTTGACAAGGAGGAGAAGGGCTCTAGGCATGCGAGAGGGTGGGCTCTGAGCCTGCTTCCCAAGGATGAGGAAACACCTGCCTCAGCACTAACAAAGCAAGAAACGCCAAAGAGGGTCCCCGAGTCGGGAGCAGCGGTCCTGACCGCTCTGCTGAGCTCCTGGGAGCAAGGAGAGAGGAGCTGCTTCCTGCCAGGTGGCACAGCACAACGCTGTCTTGCACCTCTATCCAGCAAAGCTTGGGAAAAAATGAGGCAGTTCCCTGCTGTGTGCGCGAGTGTCCTGCGTGGCCAGGGTGGAGGTGCGCCGTGCTCAGCTGCTGCTTCCCACCACGCACGGCTGCATTGGCAGACGATGTGCTTGGTTTCTTGATTATTATCCTACGTGCAGGGACAGGAAGATGGAGTCAATCGTACAGTACAACGCTGATCGTGCTGAGACCTGGTCATGAGCATCAATAACACTTCACCTGATAATATCTAAAGTACCAGAACAGCCTATCCAGATTAAATATTGTTTGTGTTTTAAGTGCAGCAAAGTCCCCCTTGGCCCCCCTAGAAAAGGCAAAATTAGGCTGTAACTCTGCTAAAGAGGAGAAAGAAATGTGGTCCAGAGTCTTGTGCAGGTCATTACAGGCAGCTGTAGATAAGCTGAAGTCACAAAAGCTGCAGTGGAGGCGGTCGGTGCTGAGAGCCGTAGCCGCTGGCTCTTGCAGATGAGAAGAGCTGGAGGGCTTTGTGGGCATGAATAATCCTTTCTGCTGCTGTTATTGCAGCACATTTGAGTGTGTAGCTTGGGGGCCGAGGGCTGGAGGCAGCTGCCTGAAACTCTCTCTCTTGCACTCTGAGAAATATAAGTTAACAAAATGAATCCTATAGAAATTCGTAGCAATCAGATACGGCAAGGGAGATGGCTGCAGAGGAAGAGAAACATTCTCAGTGCAGAGCAAGGGCAAGGCTAGCTATTAATAAGCATGTTTGTGTGGCTGGGATTGACAGGGAGGGATATTAGCACCAAGAGATATGAAGCAGCTTAGCTGTATTTTCTTTGCTCAGCTTCTGTGTAGTTTTTTTCCCTGTCTCTGCAGTGAGAGACAGAGGTAGCGGCGCGCAGGCTTGTGCCACACTGCAGCCCTGCAGCTCTTGTTCCCTAGGGCTTTGTGGTGCTTGGTAGGGAATTACCAAACACGTTCTGGAAGGTCCTGCAATAATTATGTGCTGTGCCCTCGGTGCCCTGTGCGAACCGGAGCGGGAAAGCTGCCCAGCAGACTCTCTTGGGGCACTCTGTGCAGCAGACGCGAGGGCTCAGGATTGCATTAGTTATAAAGCCTCAAGCTCCTGAGTCTCCGGAAGGTTTCCAGGGGCTGCACAGGCAGATAACGTACATGCTAATTTCAGTGGAAAATGGCGAGAGGCAAAGTAACTTCCCCCTTAGTGTCTGTCACCTCAAGAGACTTGTGTTTGAATCTTCCTTAAGGAAGAAGGAGTTTGATATTTTGCTACATAGACCCAGGTGGATATTTTCGCAGATCTCAGAGCCATCATTCAGGACAGCTTTGGCATAGCTGCACTTGCAGGAGGAAACAAAAGGGAAGAGCAGAGATGGTAGAGCTGGAATGAGAGAGAATCTTTCCTGCTTGATGGACCTAGGCAGCTGGGAAGCTCGGGGGTCTGGGATCCTGGGCTCCAGTTCACTTATAGGACAGGATTTAGGGGACTGCTGAGACTCACAGGGGTTTATATGGTCTCTCTTTCTCTCCTTGTTCAGGAAACAAGGCAATAAGTACTTGTGCGATACTGCTGTTTCAGAGCATGGCAATACCAAGTACCTGAATTTATGACAGCAGTTTCTGTTGCATGGTCTGGAGTTTTCAGTTGTTAGTTTACCAGCCTGGAAATTTGTTGATGAATTTTCCTCTTGTTTTTTTAGCTTCCTGTGGTGCAATCCATTGATCCACCAAATGGCCCAAAAGCTGGAGGAACAAGAGTGACCATCAGAGGAAGCCGTCTGGACGTTGGCTCCGAGCTCCACGTCCTCGTCAACAACTCCAAAGAGTGCACGGACCTCAGGTGGGCTTGGGGCTGAGCCTGGCACCAGGACCTGTGTGCCTGAAGCAAGGACAAAGACCCCGAATGCCAGGGAAGATCGTTTTGTCCCGGAGTAGATCAGGAGCTGGATTTGGGTGGCGGTCCTGCTGCCCTCCGCTGCGAGCCTTGGCACGGCGTAGCACCCGGCGGCCCCTCTGGCTGCCGCTTCCAACCCGTCCGGCAGCCCGGAGCCGCCGCAGGGCCCAGGGCTGTGGTGCCTGGCGCAAGGGGCTGGTCTGGCAGCTGCCACGGCCCGGGGGCTGCATGCCCACAGCAGCTGAATGATGCTCGCACGCGGCGCGGAACCTGCTCCCAGGCTGCTGGGGTGCTCTGGGGCCGGATTCAAAACCCTGGCAGCAAAACAAGCGCAGGTAGTTCGTTCCCACGCCCGCTACAGATGCTCGGTGGGTTTACCTGCGCTGGGCAATGTAGGTCAGCCTAGCGCAGCATTCTCTGCAGTGGTTAGTTAAGCCCATGTGCCCCCACAAGGACAGGTAAACCTCTGGACCTGGGTCATTCATGGGCCCGTGAACATGGGGATGAGGTGCCCGTGTCCTTGCCATCGCCTCACACCCGTGGGAGCTCACAGGCCCTGCTGCATCGCTCCCATGCTCCTTGGCTGCAGCTTTCCCTGCCTGACCCCATCTCTCCTTTGCAGTCGCAATGATACCGCGATCATGTGCACCATGCCCTCTGTGGATCTCACCACGGCTGTGCAAGTCTGCATCCAGTTTGAGAACAAGTCTTGTGCCAACAACAATATCACGTTCAAGTACGAGAAGAACCCGGTTATAACGGACATCAACCCTAAAAAGAGTCAGATCAGGTGAGATCTCTCCTCCAGGGAAAGCAAAGGCTGTCAGGATCCTGGCCTTCCTTGGGAGGTGTTGCTGGAATTGGCTTCCTAGCTGTGCTAAAAGCAAATATGGACACTGTGCTCTTGGCCAAGGGCAGAGCTAATTGAAGGATCCCTGTGTGGCCCCTTGCAGGCAGCAGACTCTTGCTCTGCTCTCTGCGTCAAGCCATCCAGATGCAAACAGTCTCCTGAGGAAAAGCCGTGTTGTAGCCCCGTACTCAAGTCATTCAAGCACAGCTAGGGTGTTATTGGGCCACATTGCTGCAGCCTCCCGACCTCCAGTTCAGAGCTGGCTCAGTCTGCATGTGCCGTGAGGGGTGGCCTTTCCCCCGGGGGAGGCTGCGGGAGGAGGGCCGGGCTGGGGCACTGCCCGACTGCCCTAGAGAGCCGGCGCGGGGGCAGCACAAGGCCTGCACGCCGGGGCTGCCGCAGCTCATCGCAAGGCACTTAGGGCGTTGTGGTGCAGTGGTAATTGCACTGTCTGTCTGCACCTGGTGGGTGCTCTAAGGAGCCTCAGAGAGGGGGGACTCAGGAATCCCAGAGGAGTTTTCTTGGCAATAAAACTGCTGGAGGATAAGCTGAGATTTGTAATTCTGGGTTTCAACAGGCCCTGAGACCATCACATTTCATTTTTAAAGTGTGTTGCTTTTAATTTCATTCCTCTCCATGGAGCTCTCAGGCTCCTGTTCCTTTGGATGTCTAAGTGAAAACCCACCTTCCTCAGCAGTGGAGTCTGGAAAAGCCAAGTCTGACGCAGACACCCGAGAGCCCAGGGTCTTTGCCCCAGGACCGCTGTGGGAGCAGCCCGCCTGGGAGCGAGCGTGCGGCCAGCTCTGACCCCAGCTCCGCTGGAGCAGAGCGGGGTCTTCGCGTTCCCCAAAGCAGAGCCAAAGACACGGCGGAGGGAAGGTTAAGCACCATGCACAAGAGCCATTCATAGTCTCAGCTTTGCTAGCAGCCTTGCAATTGAGCTGAACAGCCAGAGTGCATCCGAATACAAAAGAGTGTCACTACTCACATCCACGGGGGAAACTGGCTGGGCATTTCTCAGCCACCACAATCTGCTTTCTTAATATTTTATGAGTTTCCAAACTTCAGACCACTGAGAATGACAGCAGTCTTCTTCAGGCTGCTTGGTTGTGCTTTGTACACAGGGTTGTTACTGTAGGGCTGCTGGGTGCTCTGTCTGCTCCTGGATGCTGCTGCAAGGCTCAGCCTGGGGAATCAACAGTGCATTTAAAAATCAGCTGGAGTGGGTTTGTCTTATAATATTGCTAAAAAGTGCAAGCTCCAGTGCAAGCAAGAATAGTTTAAAAGGGAAGTTCTGAACTGTTCTTCAGATGTAACAAGTTCCTAGTTAGAAACTGGGATCGTAACAACCTAGTAAGAGCTATAGCACTATAAAAGTTTTCAGAGAACCTGACTCTTAGGGCCTCGGACCTAAAGTCATCAAGTATAATGCACCTTTAGAAAATAGGGTTTATAAATCTTCACAGGTCCCTGAGAAATACTGCTGAAACAGGTGAAACTTGGAAAGAGGGAAGGAAATTCAGGGCACAGCTTTTGCTGTCCAGAGCACGCTGTCACGCTGTTCCTGTTCTCCACCTCTTGCTCTCCCTAGCAGCATTGTGTGCATTCGGGTCCTTTCGGTACTGTCTTTAAGTGCTTACGCATTGAGAGCCCATAATTCAAATTCCCCGGGCAATAGCTCCAAAACACAACTTCCTCATCTCAGTCTAAATCGTCTTGGTCTAAAAGGTCTTTCTGCAAGACTCGGAGCTCCTTCTGTTCCCTGTGGGGCAGAGGACGGGACCTTGTCCTTGCCCTTGCTTTGGGTGGCTGGGGGCTCCTGTGCTGGTGGGGCCAAGGCAGACGGCTCCGCTCGCCCTCCAGCCCCAGCGCGGAGGTAGCAGCATTTTGGGAAATGGGAGGAACCGGACAGTCCTGCTGTGAGGAAGAGGCTGCTCCTTCCTCCCCAGTACCTCAGTAGCATTGGAGATGCTTGTGGCAAGTGGGGGGAAGCCTTTGGCTCTTGGTTATGTATGCTGTTGAAACAGCTGGGAAAGGCTCCTGTCTTCATTCCAATCACATTCTCTTTCTTCCCTTCTATTTAAAGCGGGGGCAGAATCATCACCCTGGAGGGACGAGGCTTTGAACTGGTGCAGAATGTGTCAATGGTGGTACGTGGCATCGGCCGAGAACACACGGTGAGAGACCTGCTAATGTCACTTCATAGGTTAGGAGGGAGCAGGGCTGCGTGTCCAGTACTTGGGGCACGTGGCAGGTAAAAGCCAAGGCCTCAGCAGATCGGGCTGGGTGCAGGGACAAGCATGTTGTGACCCAGCAGAGTGACAGGCCCCATGTGTTCCCACGCAGTAATGATGTCTGTAGGGCTGTCAGTTTGTGGGATGCTTTGTGCTCCTGGCTGGGTGATCAGCACACAGATGCCCATCAATCATCAATGGAGCAAAGACATCCTATTCAAGGCTGACCCAAGCCTTGGGGTTTCCCAGGCTGTTCGTTGATGCAGATGAGACTTGGGTTCATCTTTCTTGATGCACGTGCTCTCTCCTGCTTTCAGAAGTGTAAGGTTCACAGCGACACTGTGATTACCTGCCCTTCTCCAGCGGCCTCCAACATCACTGTGGGGAGCAAGCCAGCGCCTGTGGATTTCTATCTCAATGGTTGCCTCTATGCGGATGACCGCCCATCTCTTGATGAGGAGGTCTACCCAGAGGAGGTCCTGCACATCAGCAAATTCAGCTTGGAGTACTATGCTGACCCCCAGTTCTTCACGGCCAAGAAGGAGAAATGGATCAAGCACCATCCTGGCGAGCCCTTAACACTGGTTATACACGTAAGAGGTTGACATTTACAGCTGTGCCAAGCTTCTGGGTGTTAGGCACTCCTTCCTGGGGAGCTCTCTAGTCCAAAATATGAGTATACTGCTGCTGCCTGACAAATGCAGTAGAGGGAAAGGAGACAGTGAGGATGGAAGGACCAGAACTCTCCCAAGAGCAGAGAGCTTGTTCCTCAGCTCTGCTGGCCTTGTCCCTTCCATCGGGGACACAGTATGACCTAATGGTGCCCTTTGAGGCATGATGTCAGAGGGCTGTATTTGGAGGATGTAACAGTAAGGAGCTAAATAAAATACAGGACGTGATAAAGGCTGATAATGTACTGGCCTGAGGTCAAGCAGGTAAGCCAGGAGGTCCCAACAATAGATATTTATTCCAACATAAGAAAGTCCCACATTCTTTCCTTTTGGCTCCCGAATTCAGTTCAGTTAACAAGGAAGTGAAGGTACAGCTGCTCAGACAATGTCCACGGCCCATTCAAAGGCTATTGTTCACTGCAGGATATCCTTGCTGGTAGCTCTGTGCTTCAGAAGCGCTCCCCCCTTCTCAGGCTCTGCCTTTGCAGCCCCTGCTGCTCTCTGCTGTACATCCTCCCTTGCTCCCAGGTGGATGCTCAGATCCTTATCAGTGGCGCACAGTCAAGGTAGATCAAAAAACAGATTTTGACAGGTTCTGTGAGGGGCTGGTTTCTTCCATGCCCCATGCTGAGTGAGGAATGGGAAACAGGAAAATGAGGAATGACCCAATTCTGGATTTCCTGTGGAAGGCTGGAAGGGTGTTCCTGGAGAGGTAGAGTGTTTCCAGGTCCTGAAAACAGCAGGGGATATGGAAAGTAAAGCAGGAAAATCCAATGCCAACCAGATAACTGCTTTAAAGACTGACATCCTGATTTTATTTTTATCATTAGAAAGAGCCTGACAGCCTAGGCTTGGAGAGCAATGAGTACCAAGTGAAGATTGGCCTTATCTCCTGCGAGATCCAGATTGTTTCCGACAAAGTCATTCACTGCTCGGTCAATGAGTCACTGAGCACCACAGAAAGACAGTTGCCCGTGACGGTAAGTGCTGGAAGCCTTCAGGCTCTAAGCTTGCAGGGCAAGAGCGTTTCCTGCTGCAAGCCTCGTATGCAAGGAGTCAGTCATATGCACAAGCAGGGCTGTGAAGGCCTGAGCTGCCAGGGACACATTCACAGGCCGCTTTGCTGGCAGAGGGGGTGGACAAAATATGCTGTGCTTAGAGCAGTCACCGAAGCTGCCGCTTCAGTGAGGTGCAATCCCCAACAATTGTTGGTGCAATCACCAACAAGGCTGTCCCGAGCTGTGGAGAGGGGTCCGAATGCTGAGCTGCTCCTGCTGAGTTCACCTGGGCCTCCTTGGCTTTCCTGTAAGCTCTGAGGGGGCATTTTGTCAGTTCTAGCAAGGCCGTGTAAAATCCCAAGCATGTGACTTTTCATCACTGCAGTAATTTTCTTTCTGGTGCTTGCAAGACAAATGGGGAATTTCCACCAGTTTTCAGTTAGTCAGTCCTCTTTTCACCAGCAGAAGAGCTACAAGTGGAGGTGAAGACATAAACCTTAATTAGCCCTAATAAATCCCTAGAATAGGTTCCCTGCAATATGGGGAGAGAAAGGGGACAACACAGGACTGGGAACTTCATGTTGCTGCTTCTGTCACCCTGAAGAGCTTAGTCTTCAGGGCTACCATGCCTGACCTCATAACTACTTCCATCTTTATGTGTTTGCAAAATTCACAGTATTCTGTTACTATCTCCCCCACTTCTTTTCCCCGAGAGCCTGACGTACTGTTGTTCTTGCCCTCAAATTCATTCATAGGCAGCCCCGTTGCTACTTGGGGATGTGGTCATGGCTCTTCATACTGGAGAGAAAAATGCCTCCGTCTCCATGGTCTGAGGACTTGCAGCCTCCATCCTGGCTGAGTTTTTCTCCCGTAGATGTGTTAGTGTTGAGTTAGCAGGAGTCTGTGGCTTGGGCAGGGAGGAGAAAGGGGTGCAGAGGGATTTGAAGAATCTGTGGGCTTACATTGCCCAGAAAAAAACACAAAGATGTACCATCAGCTCCACCAGTGGAGTTGTCCAGTTTACTGCCTGTGGTCTGTTGTGCATGAAATTCTGTTGCAAACTGCAACAGAAGAAGAAGGAAAAGCAGAAGTAGCAGAATTTCCTAAGTCATTGTAATGGAAGTTCTAAATAGGGTAATTTTGGTTTTAGTGAGAACTGAAAAACAGGGAAATCCCTTTGGGGAAAAATGGAATTTATGAGTCTGCTAGTTTGGGTCTGACATAAAGCATTCAGGGTAATACCCTAGTAGTTCCTGGAGTTTTCCTGCAGCAAAGAAGAGGTTTGCAAGGCTGCTAAAATAACACATAGCTATTGGGAATGTAGCTAAATAATCATCTTGCATTCATATATGTATGCACTTATTAGCCTTCATATATGGTTTGAGTTGTGGCCTGCTGGCTGCTTCATAAGCAGCAGCTGCCTTTTGGAATATAGTGTTAATAATTTTCTTAACACTGGACCAGATGTAGGCAGTGGGCGCTAGCTGTTCTTTCACTGCTAATAGTTATTAGGGCTTGCAGAAATCACGGCTGCTCTGTCGCTAATGTGATTTCTTCCTTTCAGACAGCTGAGATGTTTGTTGCTGTGACTGCTTGTGTGTTCAAATGGTAGCGCTTAGGTCTGCAGTGGTGAATGCAAGGGAAAACACCCCAAAGTGTGCCCTGCAGTAGGTCCTAACGCTGGCCACAGTTCTGTGCCCATCTCATCCGCAGAGCTGTTCATGGACTATGTCTGCGCGAGCAAGAGGGCAGCGCGGTAGGAAACACTTCAGGGGGAAATGAGGGTGCCGAAGATTGCGCTTCTGAGTACGTGTGTCCTGGGGGTTGCTTTCTGGTCACTGTTGTGTGAGTACTTCAGTAGAGCTGGAGCTTAATTTTGGTTTGGTTTAATCTTGGCCAAATCCAGGTCACATCCTGGCTGCTCCAAGGCTGCTCCAAGGCAGCTCCAAGGCTGTTCCATCAGGTAGACCAAGGTGCAGATTGGCCTATGCCAGGGTCCAAACTGAGGAACTAGCAGAGACACAGATGTCGTTTGGGGATCCCTGCCCCAGTGGAGATGGGTCTTCCCAAGCAGAGCTCTGTCCTCCAGCCCTGTCCAACCTCTGCATCCCCACCGTGTGGCTGAGCCAGGAAATGATAGCATTTCACCCAGAACCCCACCAGTTCTGCTTGTAAAAACTGTGCTGAACAAGCCTGTCCGAATGAAAGGACTTCGAACCATTTCTGTTTGTGACCAAGTTCTTTAAACACCGAGTTAAACGGTGAGCATGAGTGTGCTCCTCTGGAGAACAGGAAGGGTCGAATTAGTGAAAAAAAATGACTCAAAACGCAAGCAGGACTTGCCTTGTGATAGCTTTTCAGAGAAAATGCACAAAAATATTGAGATTAGATCTGATGGTTTATGCAGACTGTGAAATGAACATCCTCAGATACTCACATAGAAGCAAATCTATGTACAGCTGGAAATTGTGCACTCATGTCCTTATGGGTCTTCTGTCCTCTGCCCCTGTCCTGGTCAGCAGGACCAGTGAAGTGACCTTTCCCTGCTGGCCACAGAGGTTTTAGCTGATTCTCCAGCCCACAGCACAGATACAACCAGAGCTCCGGCCACTGAGCACTGCTTGCAGATACCACCAGAGCCAGTGCCGGAACCAAGGGGCCACTTGAAGGGCAGGTAAAAAGCCAAGATACGGATTACAGGAGTGGAAGCCTAACTGTGTAGTCCAGCACTAATGGTTGGAGGCGCTCACCACCACTTCCAGCTGCTGTGCAGTGTAAGAACTCGTGTTTCCCAAGAGCATGGGCTGTGCTCATGGTGTTTCGTGCCATGATATAGTGGCAAGCCTCTGCTTGTGCTGTTCCTTCTGCTGGCTCATATGGTGTGCAATGGTGGTGACTTCCACACATGACACCAGGCGATCGCAACCAGTACAGGAAGGAAACTTTTTGCTCTCCAGCTAGTCTTTTCTCTTTTCTTTTAGCTCCTCACTGCTCCTTTAGCCCACTGCTCACTGCTTAGAACTATCTGTAATGTAATGCACAGTTTCTGTCTCTCCTGAAGACACTGCATAATACAGATGGTTTCATAAGATTATTCCATATTTTCCCAACCTCATTTCAGTTTTTTGTTCAAGTTTCTCTTGCTTCTCATTCCTTTAGAGAAGTAAAACTCACATTTCCAGAAGTGAAAGACTGATGTGTGGTCATGAGTTTTCCTTATCAGATGTTGCTGTTGAACCCTTTCATCTCAGAGGCGTAGAGAGCCTTTTATAAACAGTGAGGAGTAACACATCGACCTGCCTGTGATGTGTGTTTGCCTCTTCCTCTATGGTGATCAGGAGACTGAAGCACTGAGTTCAAGAGGTTTGTGCTTGTTGTCACAAGAAGTATGAGTTGGGAGTAGAGCCAGCACCTCCTGACACCCAGTCCCCTGGACTCTAACCACAAGATAATTACTCCTCTCTGGGTTCATTATTATTTATTTTTATTCCCTTATTTTATTTTTACTTCAAAGTCTTTCAAGTTTCTTTACCCTGAATGGTAGCAGTTCTGCTTTTGGAGTAGAAGAGGTGAAGCCAGGGTTAAAAGGCCTGTCTGTGTTGGATGATCAGCAGAAGTAGTTTCCTAGTAAAACCAGTACAGGCAGTTCTGTGTTTTGCACTGTATTCTTTCAGACAGGGTTTGATGCTGGCTAAGTTCTACCACTGAACTCAATTAGCACAGCACCGGGGCACACTTGAGGCTGCTCTTTCATCCCAAAGGGAACGGGTTTGCAAACCTCTGCTCTGAAGAGCTGCAGTGGAGAAAAATGAGTAGTTCTAAGCAACTAGAAAGTCTCCTGTGGCGTCTCTGGGAGGTCATGAGAGTCCTGGGCACACATCATGTTACGTTAGGTGGTTGTGACTCCCCTGGGCTTGCTGCTGGTTTCCATGAATATCTCCAAGAAGGAAATGGGCTGTCCATGCAGGCACCAATCTAACCTCCCTGCTGAAGCCTGATGTCGCTGAGACAGCATAGTCAACCTGTGTCTTGGCCTGGGGACTCCATGGCTGCCACTTCTCCCTTTAGACCCTTCTGCTCTAGTGCCACACTGTTGGATGACTAGGTGCTCAGCTGTTGGTTTTCCTACTTCCTTGTGCTCCTCTAGATCCAGGTCGGAAAGTTCAACCACACAATTGCCATGCTACACCTTGGGGGAGGAGAGACTGCGATCATCGTCTCCATTGTCATCTGCAGCATCTTGCTGGTCCTGTCTGTTGTAGGTAAGAGAATAGAAAGCTGAACTCCCAGCTCATGTTCAGATCTTTCTCACTGCATGGGGAAAGATGCAGATCCAATGATCCATCTAGTCCAAGGCCCTGTCTTCAGTAATATCCAGTAGTAGATGCCTAGAAAAGAGCATAAAAAGCAGAATAAACATTCTTTGTTATGGATCCGGAGCAGACACTGCAGGAGTTTGCCAGCCTCATCAGGAGCAGTGCATCACACCTGCATCCTCTGGTTAGTGTACCTTTTCATCACATGCCCCAAACCACCATACAGCAAGAAAACCATAAAGTCACAGCAAATTAGGCGTTTCTAATAAGGATTGAATTTATTTTTAATAGAAGTGATTATGCATACTATTTCTTAAATGCACCACTAGTCACCAGAAGCATATTTCTGGAGGTGTGAGAAGGCTATCAGACATGGACACCATAACACATGTGGTAAACCTCTTGAAATTTATATTCATTAATCATCTGGAATTATGAATATGCAGTTGAGTACTTTACAGCCCAGACCTAGATGGAAGAGGACCGTTACAGCATAATCATTAAGTCCCAGCTGGTTTGACTTATGTATAGATAGTCAACAGCTGTCTGGTCAGTTTTGTGCTAGGTGTTAAACCAGCCCTGAGCTTAGCTTTCCGTACCTGGGTCAGCAGCTCCACTCTGATGAGCACTCTGACCCCAGCATGAGCTGCTCCTAATGGCCTTCTCCAAAAGCCTCGTTCTGTCTCTTTTCCAGCTCTCTTTGTGTTCTGCACAAAGAGCCGTAGAGCAGAGCGCTACTGGCAGAAAACTTTGCTCCAGATGGAAGAAATGGAGTCCCAGATCCGGGAGGAAATCCGCAAAGGTAAGTCATGTGCTGCTGGCAGAGCCAGCAGTGCAAGGGAGATGTCAGAATAACAGATCCAAAGCAGGTCACTTCTGCTTCATAGGAATGTTTAAAGGAGCAGGAATTTGGGCAGTGACAAAACCCCAGGCCTGTGTTGTGGTGGGGTCTGTGATAAGGCTCAGTGGTTGGACATGTGGCTCTGCCACTATCCCGCTGCCCGGCTTGGGAAAGCCACTTATCTTCAACGCTGCTGACTTCCCTGTCCTGCAGTAAATGACCCTTGGCTGTGACAAAAGCCACACTGATTTACAGCCTGCTGTTAATGGGTGCAGCAAACCCGCAGTGCACTCCTGCTCGAGGACTGGAGAGGCTCCCACCCTGGCTGTCTCTGCGGAGCGTGAATCTCCGCAGCTTACACCAAAACTCCCCTCCTGCAGAGGCAGACTGCAGCACTGGCACCCTGGCGGCAAGCAGCGCTGTCTCTAAGCGCTGCAGACGTGATGTATAGTGCTGACAGTTAAGCCCTCAGTGTAATCTGCTCTCCTTGAGAAAACTCTGCTTCGGCTCACTCGAGGGAAGAGGCTGGAGGAGGCAGAGACGAGACATCCAATATATTTCCATGCCAGCCTCCCTGCTGGCTGACTTGGCTGGTAGGTCAGTAGAGCTCTTACCATCTGTGGGTTTCTTTGCCTAAGGTTTTGCTGAGCTGCAGACAGACATGACAGACCTGACCAAGGAGCTAAACCGCAGCCAGGGGATCCCGTTCCTGGAGTACAAGCACTTTGTCACCCGGACCTTCTTCCCCAAAGTAAGGCAGTAATGTGTTTCCCAGGCACCTTATCGCCCCACATCCCTTCCTAACCACATCAGGTCTCTGCTTCCCCTCTGCTGAAGGGTCACTGCAGTGTAACAGAATCGTTCCAGTCTTTTATATCTGATTGCCGTGTATTTCAGCCTTCATTATCATCAAAGCTGGAGCCACGGCTGGGCAGAGTGTGATGGGAGCCTTGCAGAGGGAAAAGCAGATAAGACCTCATTCATGGGGTCAGACCTGTGCTATTGCCCCAGTTCAGTGTGTTTGGGTGCCCTTTTCTGAAGGCAGTCTCATGGGGGAAGGATGGCCAGTTGTCCCCTGGTGACTCCTCAGACTCCCAGCGGGCTGCTTGGAGGAAGCCGAGCCTGTAAGGTGGTACCTCCTGCCTGTGTTCAGGGAAAGGCGCCTTTTGTCCTAAGCCAGCACCCCGTTGGTTTTCCAGCTGCACTGCCAAGTCCCGCTCATTAGGTATGTCTGCGTCTCCTCCCTATTCAAGACTGGGCACTGCTGTCGCCAGCAAGAGGCCCCTGGGGCACCGAGTGCCAGCGCGTCTGCCCAGCGTCCCCTCGGGCACTGCCTGCGACACGACACGTCCATAATTCCCGTCACCAGCTGCTCAGCCGCGGTGCCGTGTGCTGTTAGCAGCAGCTATATTTCACCCCTGAGGCAGTTGCATTTCAGTGGTGAGGAGTGAGATGATGATTTATGGCTGCAGAGTGTTTCATTAGTAGTTACTACCCAGATTTTTAGGTTATCCAATCTCTATATATCTGCAAACTAGACTCCTTAAGATTCAGGCTGCTATATGAATGTTAGAGATTTAAACATTTTTGCCATCTGTTTCAAAAACTGCATATGTTAAAACACCCAGTAGTCCTCTATTTTGACTTGGCCTTCCATAATGCGTTCTCTTCTAGGATCTTCTAACTGTCAAATTAGTCTATTTGCAGTCTCCTGCTCTAACAGCCCTGTGTCTGCTGAGACATCTGCCTCCCCCCATTCCTGTGGTGTTTGTTCATTCAAGACGCTCTTGCAAAGTGTTTAAAGGCTTCGTAAAGCGTTTCAGTGCATTTCTTAATGGGTGGTCTCGGTCCTGATGACATTTCTCTCTGTCTTGCTCCCCCGTGGCGCCTCCACTCGCGTTGCCCGCTCCTCCGGACGGCCCGCGCTCGCGCAGTGCTCGTCGCTCTATGAGGAGTGCTACATTCTGCCTTCCCAGCAGCCCAACTCCCAGGTGGGCTCCCAGGCCCAGGAAACCCATCCGCTCCTGGTGGGGGAATGGAAAGTGAGTAATTCATTAGCAAAACAAATGTTCCTTGACAGCTATTAACCATGCTCTTATGTGTTGACAGTGTCGTGTATTTTTTTGCGGTGCATGAGGAATGCTTGATCACTCAAAACATTTAACACATACCAGCACTAGATCAGCTTTTCCTGAGGGAGAAGATGTATAGGTGAAGATCTCTCACACAAAGGATCTCAATCATGAGATCCTCCCCAGTTTCACTGTGGGCTTTTCTTTGTAGGTGTACCATATTGTATGTCATTTCAGTCCCGTATGCAGCTCATCAGAGATTCCTCCCAAGCAGGACTTCAGTAAAAACTCATGTCTCAGAGCTAGGTTTCATGCAGATGGAGAGGCTGGAATCATAGAGTCAAAGAGTAGTTTAGTTTGGAGCAGATCACTGGAGTTCATCTAGTCTAACTCCCTGCCTCGAGCATTTCCAACTAGACGCAGGCTCTTGTCTGGTTGAGTTTCAAGTACCTTCAAAATGGAAATCCCACAGGCTCTCTAGGGAGCCTGCAATAAGATCTCCCTGTCACCACTTCATATTAAGGCTGAACCAACTCAGCTTTCTCAGGTACCTCGGGTTCTCCTGACCCCTAATTGCTTTAGCAGCCCCCTCCAGTGCACTTGCTCCAATTGGCCAATGTCCATCTTGTATTTGGGAGCCCCAAACTGGGTGCTGTACTCCAGATGCAGTCTCACAAGTGCTGAATGGAGAGGAGCCAACTCTTCCATTGACCTGCTGATTCTAACACAGCCTGAATGCAGCTGGCACTTTTGCTGCAAAAGCACACTGCTGACTCATTTCAAATAGGAGGAGGAAGGGGATCCTCAGGAATGTGTCTATTTTGAGGGGGAACATCCTTACATCAGTTAGGAAAAAGGCTGGAGGAAAGCAAAAAGCAGTGCTTTTCTCACTCTCCACGTTCTTCTTTAGATTCCTGAAAACTGCAGACCCAATATGGAAGAAGGAATCTCGCTTTTCTCCACCTTGCTCAACAACAAGCACTTTCTCATTGTGTTTGTGCACGCTCTGGAGCAACAGAAGGACTTTGCTGTTAGAGACAGGTAGGTGTTTCAGAAGACATGTACAAAGCAGCACACGCAGCCAACCTTCTGTGCGGGTGACGTAGTCCACGGTGGAGGTCTGTGCCTGCCCAACTGCAGCTCGACCCGCTGCTGCTGCTTGGTTATGCAGGAGGTGGCCCCTGAGCCCGCCTGGTCCCCCGGGAGCTCCTGAGCACTTCGCTCATCCCACCCGCGTGGTGGCCGAGACCTGCCAGCTCCCTGCCCATAGACCTGTGCCTGTCAGCTGTTGTTCACCCAGGCTGAACTTGAGGCAAAGACCCGGCGGCTGGAAGAGACTGACTAACTCTTGACCACTGAGCAATCCAGTCCACCCCTGGCTCATGAAAATTGTCCAAAATCCTGCCCTTTTGTTATGTTTTTTAATGCCAGTTTTTATTCCAGGCCTAGGCTTGGGATCAGTCCTTGAGTCACACACTTTGTTTTTCAGATGTAACCTGGCTTCCCTGCTTACTATCGCATTGCATGGGAAACTGGAGTATTACACCAGCATCATGAAGGACCTCTTGGTGGATCTAATAGATGCCTCAGCTTCCAAAAACCCCAAGCTGATGCTGAGGAGAACTGAATCTGTAGTGGAGAAGATGCTCACCAACTGGATGTCCATCTGCATGTACAGCTATCTCAGAGTAAGAACAACCTCAATGCTATGCTAGGTGTGATCTTGACTGTACTCAAGTGTAGGGAGGGACTCATGGGTCAGCTGAGGACCAAAATAGCTGTGAGCATTGTCTTGTTGCAATTAGTTGCAACTAATGATCGATAAACTCCGACAGATTGGAATGTTCAAGTGTGAAAAGGCAACCTTAAGCTCGATTGCTTCCCCCTTCTGTGTGGGGATTTGGCAAGCTCAGCCTTGACCGCAGGCTTTCTGGTGTGGCTTGTGTTTTGTAGGGCCAGAGCATTAATAAGACGATGTTCTTTCCATTCGTTACCATGCTTGAGAAGAGAGCCATGAAGGAATTAAAAAACGATAACTAAAATGGTTTGAGGTTTCGGGAAATGTTCCAGTTATTTGTTGTTTTCCCTGAGAAGCTTGCAAAGCCTCACTGATGCTCTTCAGACCATTCAGCTTGTTCTGGTCTGAACGCGTGAGCACTGGCTGTTCAGACGGCGTCGCAGCGCGCGGGGTCGGAGCTCTCCGCTCCCGTTCGTGTGGGGGATTCTCGCCCTGGAAGTGCCTTTATGCTCAGACAAGGCTCAGCATGCGCGGCAGGGACTTCCACCCCAGAAGCCTGACTGTCTTCCTACTCCAACCTAAACAGAGTATATTTGGCATCTCCGCTCACATCAGCAGTCCATCTGCTCAGTCCTTTATCTCCAGCATTTGCCAATTCTGGTTGGAATTTCCCAGAAGAATTGAGCAATAGCATAATTGATTCCACAGCCGTTAATTGGCGGACACCCTATTATACTTGTAGAAGAGTGCCTAGAAAAGGCTTTTAAAAAAATCTTTTGCAAAGTATTTGCTTCAGCCACAGAAGCAATACTGTATTGTCCTCGTACATATCATAATTTCTTCTGATCCCAGCTGATGATCACTTTTGTCCTAAGCCCCGCGGTTTTATAGTTCTTAATCTTTTATTTTAGCTCATATAATTAGCTAGTATAATGAAAGAAAAGTTACGGGAAAGAATAAGGATGACTGTGCCAGTTGAGCACAGCTATCCATTTGTAAGGGCAAAAGTGAGTGAATTACTGATTTTTTTTTTTAATCTTTAGTTCTTGTGCCTGTAGATAAACCATTAGGGAGCAAAAGTGCTGATCTCTCCTTTTGGAGAGAGGAGGCCACATGTGAGGCATCTGATCCAACTTCATTTTCTGCTAAAAATGGACATTGTGCAAGAAGGCTTTCTCAGAGGGGGGAAAAAAATAAAGGAGGAAAGAAAGTTGAGTCTTGTCACGTGGGCCCTAAGGCTTGGCCCTTTTACAAGGCTAATGAAGGGCGGCAGCTCCTGCGTCCCATGCAGCGTCCGGTGCCGGAGCCCGCCAGGACGGGGAGCTGCCCGGCCCAGAGCGGGGGCTGCCCGGGGCAGCCGGGGAGCGGAGCTGCCGAGGGGGCTCCTAGGTGCTCCCAGGTCCTGGATGCCGAGCACGGAGCCGGCTGTTTGTTCCCTCCTTGGCCTCCTCGCGTGGAGGGGGATATGAAGAGATGCTGCCAACAGCAGCGTGTTCCGCAGCAGGGCTGGGATAAGGCAGCAGGTCTGTGAGCCTGCAGGCAGGAGGGAGCTGCAGAGGACCAGAGCGACCGTCTCCGTCCCGCGGCCGATGTCCTCAGCTCTTCTCGCTTCCCCTGTGAGCGACGTCCTGGCAGCCCCGCGCTGTCGCTGCCCTGCATAGCTTAGATTGTAGTGTCAGATAAGTGTCAGATAGTGTCAGATAAGAAATAATAAGAAAGTCCATCTCCCAGGCTCCAAGGGCCCTGCCGGCTGTGGGCACAGCCCAGTGCTGCCCGCACCCTCCCGGGGCCTGGGTCCGGACCGCGGGGCTGGTGGTGACGGCCTCGCCGGCGCGTCAGCCCGAGGCGCATCCCGTGTGAGCGGCTTTCCCCGTGGCAGAGCGCGTCCCGCTCCCGGCTAGCACCACTCGCTTTGTGTGAGCAGTCAAAGGCGATGGGACGCGGCGCTGGGAAGGAGCACCCATCGGCAGAGCGCAATGAAGGCCTCACTTCCCTGCACGTCTCCTCTCCTAGTGCGTGGGGCAGCGAGAGGGGGAGACGCAACCAGAGGGGAATGCGCCGAGGACGGGTGGGATGCGCAGGGCTCGTGACGGGCTTTGTGGCTGCCGGGGAGCAGGGGGCTCTGCACAGGCGCGAGGGCCGGCCCTGCAGAGCTGCTCTCAGCGCGGCGCCCGCAGAGCACGTCTGAACCCAGGGAGGCTGACGCGCCCGC